TTATTGTTTATTTTGTGTGGGACAGTACATGTTAATGAACACATCACTCCGGATTGTAGCCATGGGCTAATTGGCTACATTCCCACATTCGCACTCACAAACACACACTCATTCACCCTGAACTATTGCACATGTTTTTAGTCGTAGGGGAAACCGGAGTACCCGGAGGAAACCTACGCTGACACAGGGAGAACATGCAAACTCCACTCAGAAAGGCCCTGTTCCGACCAGGATTCGAAACCAGAACCTTCTTGCCAAGCGAGAGTGCTATCCACTCAGCCACCGTGCCTCTTTCAACAAGTCCTGAGTTTGACTCCAAGGCTATTCTCCCACTTCTAAAAACACAAATGGGACGACAGAAAACTACTGTTGAACTACCTCTGGTGTATTTCGAGCAGTAGCTGTTCAGGGATACACATCGTTATATTCAAATATATAAATACAAGCAGTGTAGGTCTGAAGAAAACAGTTTGAGTCAAATACTAAATACAGTAGTTCCTTCAGCCAAGATGCACGTGAAATACAGGTGCATTTTTTAGTCGGCCAAGAATATATTTGGTCAAACTTTGATCCTAAAATATAATTCTGCTTTGGAGGTTGCTGATAATTATATCCATACGGTTTTAACAATATTGGAAAGAAATTACTGCCACTCAAGGTCATTTTGATCAATCAAGGTAAAATTGAGAATAAAACCAAAAATGCACTATATCTTTTTTCTACGTTTTCACCTAGGCACAGAAATAGATTTATAAAAATGTGCCGTCACCGAGCTAAGAAAACATGTTTGCACACTCACCTTTAAACGAAAGACGTTTTCTGAGGAGTGTTTCCTGAGGAGAGACCATGGGAGAGACGGGACAGAATTAGAGATGCTGAGATAAAAGAGGCGCACAAAACATCCAGCAAACGAGCCAAGGGCCATGAATCCAATTAATAGCGTGATGTGAGAGCTAATGCTATGTATTTCCACAGTCAGGATATGGATCATTGAGATAAGTGTGTGGATGCCACTGTGCAAGGACTGGTGGTGGGATAGGCCTAACAAGCAATTATCCAATGAGGAAGAGAGGGTTGTTGTCTGACCTCTGGATGAAAACAGCAACTTCATTAATTAAGATTTTATTCAAACGTTGTGATATGTCGTTAATTCCCCATCAGCCAAACTTTGAATCCATTATGGTGAGAATGATGGCACACCACTCTTTTTGTTGTTTTCTTTCCTCACGAGATGGAGACAGTCAGTTAGTCTCACAAATGAGCCGCTCAGTCCTGATCAACAGTCTGTTTCAGCAGTGGATTGATGACATAGACGATACAGCACTAAAGCAGAGTTTCATGTATTTAAATCTCCCTGCTTTAAAATGAGACACTGCAGCTGAAAAACATTATGGATGTTGATTTGCAACTTGTGTAGCTTATAAATAAAGGAACATAATAGAAAGGCTTTTTGTCGTTTTGTAACAAACTTATTTCTTTCAGGGACGGTGTATATTTCTTGATTTTTGCAAACAGTTTATTCTGTTTTTCTTTATGGGAAACCGCTTTGTTTGATTTGGTTTTGACAGTAAAGAACATTTTGGTACAAAATCCACTTCATACCAGATGACGCAACACTACAACTTTCTTAATAGAAAATGTGATGAAGTTCTTATCCATATCTTACCAATTATAAAGTTTATTCAATGTGAGTTATGATTTTGTTGAAGTGTGCCACTCTTATTGTATTTTAAATTAGTCTGGAACTGGAAAATTGAAGATCCGTATTTTGCCTTTGATTGTGTGATTGCATCTGGAGCATCAACATCTCTTTTAAAGAAAAAAAAATATTGATAACAAATTATCATCATTCAAACCACTCATGGAAAATAGAGCCCCTGAAGTTTGCAGGCTTAAAAAGAACTCTGAATGCCAAAAATAATCATGTGAGACAGCAAGAGCTCTTTTGTTTGACAAAATAATTTGCACTTAAGGTTATTAAAACATGTTGAACAGCGACAAAACAACTCACAACAAAATCTCACAAGCTGTTAATCTCCAGTGAAAACTCAATTCTGTCGCCATTAGCAACCAAGAGGAAGGTTTAAAACAAGTACTTGGTTATTGATAAAGCACTTATCACAGGCAGTCCATCTCTAAAAAAAAATTGCTTTACAATACAACATATTTATATGTGTTTAAAATACAGATAAGACATATACATGCAGATATACGACTATCACTATGAATATTAATACAAAATACAATAGACTTCTATTTATATTTTATCAAATGACTTGATGGTAAACTAAGCAACTTACCTTAACATTTCTGAAGGGGAACTCTGCAGGTCCTGGAGACATTCACAACCAGACACATACTGTAGAAACTTCCTCCAACATAACATACTCAAATCTTTTCAAAACCAGTGACTGGCTTCAATATATATTTTAAATTTGAAAGACATTTTATTGGAGTCCCAAGCTAAGTTCACATGGCAAGATCAATCTTTGTTGCTAAATTGTGCCTATGCTAAAATAATTGTCTCCTAAGGCAGTGCGGAGCTGACAGGATAACCATCTTCTATTCTTCATGCAGCGTATTTTAAAAGACCTCAATTTGTTTTCCCCACCATAACTCAAAAAGGAAATCCGGTCTGCCTCAAACCCTCTTTAGTTTGAGACAAGCACTTTATCTTCTTGTCGAGTGGCACAGCAGACTAAACACACTTTAATAATGTTGTTTCCAGCCAATGCCTCTTCACTGGAGGCCAAGAGAAACGCTTACATCTGCACTATTAAAAAAAATACCCCATTCAATTCTATTCAATGGATGAACAATCAGGATGTATTCCAAATGTGGAACAACACAGTAGTAATCCAACCAGAAGCAACTTTGAGCACTATCACAAGCCTAAATAAAAATCATATAATATCAGATGTTTCATAATTTGCGAAGATATTCCAATTATTATCATGACTAATAATTCCTCCATACTTTCTTGTCACAACATGAAAGCCTGAAATTAATCACAGGGAAGGACCTTGTGGCATGCAGACTGACATGCCTGGTGGACCTGGTGGACTAAAAGATCAGGACTGCCCCCTTGTGGACATTGACACACATCAGATTATCGGTTTTTTTGTTGTTAGTTCATTTCAATGTAATCAAGTGAAGACAAAGATCACCAGACGTGCTGTGAGACAGACGAGCATTACCTATAAATCAAACCATGATATTCACTAACAGTTAAACTTTAAATCTGATTGCATTATGTTTATTGGTGTCACAAGAACATCCAGTAGGTCTGCTAATCTCATTATTGTCATCACATAAGGCCCAGGCAACTATCTTAATCTGCGACTGCCAGAGAGTGACTTTTTGAGCTAGTTTAGTGGCAGTATCCGAATAGTAAGTGAGGAGTTCGGGAATTAGTATTGGCAAAATTACAGCCAAACCCATATTTGGACAAGATAATAGGGTTTAGAAAGAGGTGAATGTAAATTTTAAATAGTACCTTCAGAAACAGCAGGTCATTTTTGTTTATTTTTTTTTTTACATAATGAGACTATATGACATAATGTAATTGACAGCCGTTCCAAAAAAAGAGATGTGTCACCTTATTTCCAAGTTACGTGCGCTTGTAAACTCGCGGTGGTGTGTGTCAAAAATTTATCGCTCTGCACCTTGGTTTTAATTAAAACTAAATTTAATGAATACAGTAAAAACATATCCAAAACTAATTTTTTCAGAGTATTTTAATATAGATAATTGAATGTATTTCAGGTCTAAATGTTTTGAATTGATTTTATTACAGAAAGAACTGAAGTCACAGAGTAATAGTCTGTTACTATAAGTGATCTTTGTTTTCTAATCCCGCCCTTTATGCAGATCAGCTGCGGTATCCGGAAATGAGCAGTCGCGTGATGTCAGGGCAGTGTTAGCATAGCTTCGGAATGTCGAGAGACGATTTCACTTTTCCAGCTCAAGAAGTCAACAAGGATCCACATAAAAGTGAATGTTGGCTTTCGTTGCCCGCTGTTAAAATGGACTTACGTTTGTTTGGACGTGTTATTTGACGGAGTTCTTTCGGACAGTAAATTAGTAGTAATGGGAGGATGAGGACTCCATAGAGGGATGATGCTGATGTCCTAGCCTCGCCGCAGTCCCAGATCCGATTTCTTGGCCATCATTACAGCACTAACCTGGGAGGCAATGGAGCAAACATCTGATTTTCTGGACTACACTGGTGGAAATGATTTGATTGAAGTTTTAACTCAGAAGGGCAGTGACCTGACAGATGTCCGTGTCAGCCCTGATCTACGCCACATACATGTCATCCTGCGTAAACCTACCCCCAGGCTTGTGACTTTTGACAAATACGAGAAATCACAGCTTGCCTTATCCCAGAAAAAGCAGAATCTGTGCTTCACCCGGACTGCGCAGATCGTGAATGTGTTGTACTTGGCGCAAAGCAGTGCCGCAGCTGTGATTTATGAAAACGGAAAAGCGGAGTTTTGGAGATTTCAGGAGTCGAAACCGGGCTGGCATTTGTTGCAAACCTCGGATTTATGTAACAGCCCTCGGGCCAAAGTGGTGTCGGTGTGTTCATGCGATAACTCGATTATTTGGTGCGAGGAGAGGCCGCCTTCTGAGAGCTCTCCTGTCCTGAGCTCCTCCAGGAATAAGCTGAGGTACTGTGTTTGCAGGCGTGACTTTGAGGTGGGCGAAGGCGGAGTTGTTTTGAGAGGGGTCAAAATTGCGCTGCACAACAATCCCAAATTCTCTGTGATTAGTTCTGATGAGTACGTTTATCTCCTGCCTGATCTAAAAACCAAACCACTACTCGTCATCAACAAAGTAATCCTCTGCTGGGCTCCTCGCAGGGATACGCTGAGGCTAAGCACCACTTGTAAAGCAACCCCAATCAAAGAAGACACATTATCTACCAAAGAATCTGACTTTAAGAGATTGCTTACAGACTGTTTAGCTTTCCTGTCAATCCAGGACCCACCTGAGATATGTTTCTACTCCTCTACTGGCTGCGGAGGACTATTACTTCTGCTGAGCTCGGGGTGGGTGTGTCTTCTGCAAAAGGATGGTATCCTCCGTCAAGTTTTTAAACTGGATAATAACTTTGTGCATACATATGGTTTCTACCCCAGCATCTGTTTGTACCAGGAAACACTTGCTATATTGACAGAGCAATCACTTCATCTTGTAGACATAAATTGTGGCGCTGAATGTGCTAACATAAAAGTACAAAACGCTGGGTTGTTGTTAAGAAATCAGGAAGAGAAATGTACCCCACATTATTTCTCAAAGGAGGGGGTATTTGTGGTTGAGAGGGAGACTGAAACAAAAGACATAATCTTGAAATCTTGTAACTCGAACAAATTGGAGAATTTTCAACCTGAAGCGCTTCTAATTGAGGCCGTTTTCGAAGAGGCATGTATATTTTATCAGCAGAGGAGTCTAAGTAGCACTAGACTCACTGTGGATGCACTAAAAAAAGGAGGAAGGTTTCAGGCTCCAATCTCTTTAGCTGCAATTCTGAGGACATATCTCAGCACAGGGTTTCGGCAAAAGGGGGCCCATAATGGCGTCCAAAATGGTTTAGATGTAGTGGGTCAGGACAAACTGATGAGTTCGTTAGAGCCTGAGTTAAAGGCTTTGGTTGCTCTGGAGGATGTGAAAGGACGCCTGGTGAAGGGCAATGCTAAAGAAGTGGAGGTGTTGTGTGAAGATCTGGTGGAGAAAGAGGTGTCCAGGCTCCTGTCATCTGTAGAGTTTGATAAAGATTCCCTAATTTATCTGAACTCTATTTTCAAACTGTTCCCTTGCCAGGCGTGGAGGGCTGTTTCTGCCACGCTTCAGTTTCACTACAACGGTGAGGGTCTGTCCAGCAGCTCTCCTCATGAACTCTGGAAAACAGTGTTAAGTCCTGCTCCTAGTTCCCCGCTGAGCAATCACTGTGCCAACGGGGAGTACAAGCATAACCTGAATGCTAATCATATCACACATTCGAAAGCAAAGGCTCAAAGTGTGCCTGCTGTCCTCCCTGTGTTTGAACTGCTTTGCCACTCTGTGTTCGTGTTTGAACCAACCTGGTTGCCTTCATTCCTAGCGCTTTCCCAGAAGCAGCAGGGGTCGGCGGGGTTAGCTCTGAGCCTGGCCACCTCATCCTGGGGGTTTCCTAGCAGCAGAGTATCCGAAAATGGTGAGAAAAATGTGCCACTGTACAAACGTGCTTTGGCCGTGGTCTCGAGCCTCAACTTGGACAGAGAGCAGAGCCAGGACTTGGAAGTGGAGATACTACTGGTGAGTGGGCGGCCCAATGCCATCCTTCAAGCACTGCGAATTCTTATGGTCAGACAACAGTGGGATAAGGTCACTGAGGTGGCTAAGAATTTCTGCAAACAAAGTCCACTGCTGAACAAGGAAATATTCAGTGCATTACTTTGTGAAGTGGCGCAACACAGAGAACTGGATCCTTACCTGGAGCTGCTGTGGTCACTGTGTCCTGAAGACATCACTGTGACTAATATTCTCAACATAGTTCTAAAAAATCTGCCCTCTCAAAAAGCAAATTCATCCTCAGCTTTCCCCCTATCCACTACAGCCTCGTCTTCCCCGCCACCATTTGCAGACCCCCGGAGCAGCCAGCTGACCATCGGGCTGCTCAAACCTCTGCTTCGAAAAGTACTGGAAAGAGAGACTAAAAGTAACCAGGGCTATGTGGACATCCTCCAGTCGCCATCGTACCCCCCTCCTGCCCTCCCCCGGCTGCCCCTGGAGCGCTCAGAGTCCGATCAGGGCATCACCTCCGCTGGTGTCAATGAATCACAGGAACAACCACCGGTGTTGGATAAATCATGACTTTCCCTGACAATTTGACCCAGTCACCAACGTTAAAATCAGCCAGCCATCTACTATCAACAGAAGCACAATACATGAGCCATTATAATGCTGTGTTTAATTTAATTTAAAGATGGTACAATGAAGTATGACTACTAATAATGCAGTACAACTTCTGATATTACTAGTGTGAACACCTGAAGTCTATTTTAAATGTGTATTCGCTGTTATTTAAGCCTGCATGAACTGAATATTACAAACTTGTGCATTATTTAGTGTTTCAAATACATGTGTTGTGTTAGTGTTAAAGTGCCTCAATTATCAAGCCACTTTTCCCAATTAGGGAAATTGACTTTTAAACGGATGCAGTAGACATTAAAGCTGGGGTATCTAACTTTTTTCTTCTTCATAAATAACAAAATGTACAATGTTTTAAACAAATCAGACATTCTGCCTTTATTTTAATAGAGAATGTTTTATTTTGCATAGAAAGAGCCTCATGGAGCATCGTGCTTTTGGCTAAGTGAGGGTGGTCTTCTCTTTCAATTTTCTGCCTGAAAAACCTGATCTGAAGATGTGTCAGAGGCCAAAAATACATGCAGGTGAAAACTACTGACAGGACCAAGCTGTTCTGAGAGAAAAGTGGGATTTCATGATAGTTCCATTTCATTGGGGTTTGTAAGTTAGGTACCCCAGATATAACAAGCGATGTGCAAGTCTACATTTCAACAGTATTTTTACATTGCTGGTTCAATATTATAATGTTAACATATCAAGCTCAAGCCGTAAGCTTATGTACCTTAACTTAATCTACCTTGAATAGCTTTGCTTGTGTGTGTTTTGCCCCCGCTGCCTCCAGACCGCATCCCTTCACAGTCCAGCGGGACATTCCAGACCAATGCACTGGAAAAGTGACTCACAGTTTCACTTTAAATTAAATTTCAGAGATAATTGTGTTAAGGCTGTGGAGGCGAGGTACATAACAACCAGTACAGACCTCTTATCTCGACAAACCAAAGCCTTCTTGCTCAGTATTCTGAAATCATGCATCATTTGTACTATTTGCACTGAAGCTGTCAGTATTGAACTATTGAAACGCTTTATGTTCATGTTTTGATCATTGTGCCTTTTCTTTTATTGCTGCTTTTGGTGAAGCTGATGAATCAATTCCAAATACTTTAAACACGGTATTATTTATAAGACTTTTGGATGTAATTGATGGTTTTTAGAAGTTCCATTGGGTTTTCTGAAATGCTTTGATAATCTTCACTTCTGCCTATTCCCATACCAGTGCCTTTCATTTACAGTGCAGCATTACATCATAGCAGTGGCCAAAAATAAGGACCACTTTTTACTGTTCGCGGTACTTCGTACAATCTATTTGTAATTTGTATTTATGACATTTTACGTAGCATGGATAAGCAAGCCATGGTGGTTGTATTAGAGGACTGTGAGTGATCTGACTGGGTTCTACTTGTGTTTATGAAGATTGTATTTGCTCCATCAAACCCTGAATGTGTTATAATGATAAATGCTGTAATTAAATGACAAAAATGCATCCTGACGTCTTGAGCTTGTTTTTCAGTCGATCAGTCTTCAGCCAAGTACAGCTGCATGTTTAGTTTGTTCACTCTGTCAGCACAATCTATTTTTAACCACAGTGTCTCCATAAAAGCGGTAATTATGTTATTAAATATTCATGAGGAAAAAATAGGGCAAGCAGAGGACTCTTATCTTCTGAAAACAACAACAAACACAAACATGGTGAGCATTAATTGAGCGGTTTAATCCTAATACAACGTCAGTGTGATTTTGAAATGTATACTTCAAGATTTAAAAACCTAGATTAATAGGGAAAGGCTTTTTCAGATTCCAATCTTCTTGCAGAAAGGGATGCTGGATTCGTACATGGCACTGAGGGATAAAACAAGATTTGTCTGCAGGACCAAGTAATGTCACAACTAAAATGTATAAAACAAATATTTAATACCAAACATAATCATACAATAATTTTAAAGCTGTACAAAAAACCAATAATATCAGTAGTAATACAAATATTCCATAAATTATGCATAGTGCGCTCATTTGTCATAGTGCAAAGTTTAACGATTTTGAAATGATTTTGAAGTAAAAGTGTCAACAGTACCAACAGACAAAGGCTTCATCAATTTTCATTTACAAATGTTAGGTGTGGATCACAGTAGAGAGATACAATATTATCTTTGCTTCCTCTGTTGCTCAAAATGAAAAAAAAAATGTTTTCTTGCTTCACCCTGTGACCGTGGTGTGGCAAATACGGAGCTGTCACTTCAGTTGAATTTCATTTGAGCCCTGGGGATATAGTTCAGGTCTATGTCACTACAGGGACAGAAACAAATATATAATTATGTGAATTCTCAAAACGGTCGTCTTTAAAGTGCTGCAGTAGACTCACTCATACACATCGGAATACTTCATCCTCCTGTAGTATTTGGCCAGTTTGATGGATAAGATGATGCTTGGGATGAGAAAGATCATACACCATCCCAGGCTGAACCAGAAGGCATTCTAGAAGCACAAAACCAGACCATTTTACACTTGATTATTGAATTTCACATGTGGTGAATAAAACATTTCATCATTTCTCACCAGGGACGCCACTATGTTGGAGCAGACGATGTGCTCAGCAGAGTCCATCGCTCCTGCCACGGGTCCACAGCGGCCCATCTCCTGCGTGATCTGAAAACATAACTTACCTTTCAATACTTTACATATTCAAACATGTTCATGGCATATTACAGTCAGAAGACACAAAGACACTTTTCTTATTTTTCATCTTCATCTCCCCAAAAGAATCATAAAATGGGTAGCGTCAGCAACGAGAAATGTCAAGATTAGCATTCATTCGTTAGCATTATAATTTTACAAAATCTCAACAATTACAAAGCACTCAGCAACAAAGAGAAATTGCATGGATACATCTTCATACACACGTACTAAGTGAAATAAAAAGATAAAAGATAAAAACTAAAAACAAATTATAATAAAGGTTATTCACAGGTTTTTTTGTGGCTTGTTTTTTTTTTTGGTCACTTTGTGTGATTATATGATTAACTTAAAGCCTGCATTTTATTATTATTAGTAGTACATTTGATAGAGCATTACTTTATTAAAAAAAAACCACAGATATTACCGTCATTTTTGCCCAGTCAGCAAAGGCCGTGAAGTGTCCCAACTGACAGTCAAAAAACTTTACACTTTCCTAGAACCAACAGAGTCAGACAGAAAGAGTCATTTCTGAGCATTTGTGAACCACATTGAGAATTCATGAGTGGTGGAACAGGCGGCTAATTCCATGAATGGAATCATGAGTGGAGCCTAATCCTCAGAAGTGACCTCAGAATAACTGAGTTTAGTAGGACATGGGGGAAAATCAACAGTAAGCAATAAGCAGGAGCAAACAAAAAAAGCGTTGAAAAAAGTGTTGCGTACAAATATTTGTTAGTATTAGTATCCAAATATGTGTGTAGTGAATTTCAGCGTCCTCAATGTTTGGGGTTAAACTCGACACAGAATTCTATCATGAACCCCTGGGTACACAACTTTCAAATGCAAGTCACAATTTATTACATAGAATCAACTATCTTGCTTACAAATCTTAAGATCTGATTTTACTTATAAAGAGTAAAGAACAAACAGCATGGATTATTAATTGGAAAAATAAGTTAGGTACCCCATCTTTAAGACATTTCAAACATTTTAGTGCAAATGTGAGGCAAAAATGAACAATTACAACCTCTAATAGGCCATTTTAAAAGAAGTAGATCATAAGCCTCTTACAGTCTGTGAGTAAAAGTGTAAATACTTAAACTTTCTACTTAATGATGTACTTTGTCAAATTCCACCAATGAGAGAATTGTACAAAACATGTCTTTATAATTAAGTTCTGAATGACCAACAAGAAGATAAAAGAGGAAAGCTGTTCTTTATGACCAACAGTGGCAGTCTTCATGACAGTGATGGTGGATCTACTCAAAACTAGAAATATGAGCTCTCCATAACAATAATGATGCCACTCGTACTTTCTCCAAAGTATTTCTGTTGATGTAAGGTTTATTTCATGATTATAAGTCGCTCTATGGTGCACTTGAGCCTGGAGTACACAGTTGAAAGCCTTGTGTTGGTCCTGCAGGCTAAATGAGTGAGCGAGTGCAGGCATTAGGAGGCACATGCACGGCTCTCCCTGCCCGTCATGTGACCTGCGCCTGTACTCACGCTCACAACGATCTCTGATGCATTATTGTCGAAAAAGTCTTGTGCTTCTCCCACGCTGCTCAGCACCTCCCCCACAGTGGCCTGCAACGGATGCCAAAATGTCACGTCTTAAACTACTGTGTGAAAAGTACCTCACCTCACTTACATTTATTCCTCCCACTGAAGTTTTTAGCTCTGCAATTGTTGAGTTTATTGTTGCCTGAAAAAGCACAAACAAAAGATTAAATTCATTCATGAATGAAGCAAGAGAATTAGGTACAGAAAGTCAATGATAGATGGTAAATAGCTTACCAATTGAGGAAATATAACAGTTTCGATATCAACCTGGATTTTTCTTAGGGTCTGAGTTTCATTTTTCAGTTCCTGTTGCGTTTTACCGCTTGTCTAGATTACAATATAGAAAGAATAATACAAATAACGATTGGTTATGATAAAATGTTTTAGCTTAAAGCATCTTGATGAAAAATGTTACTTCACTTGAAAAATACATGTCAATTATAAGTTGTGCTGGATGAATGGTATGAATACTGTGAATTCTGTCTTGAATGTACAGTGGGGCAAAAAAGTATTTAGTCAGCGACCAATTGTGCAAGTTCTCCCACTTAAAAAGATGAAGGAGGCCTATAATTGTCATAATAGGTATACCTCAACTATGAGAGACAGAATGCGAAAAAAATCTAGAAAATCACATTTTTGAAGAATTTATTTGCAAATTATGGTGGAAAAACTATGCTTTGCAAAAGTATTCACCCCCTTGGCTTTTTACCTATTTTTTTACATTACAGCCTTCAGTTCAATGTTTTTTTAATCTGAATTTAATGTGATGGATCAGAAAACAATAGTCTAAGTTGGTGAAGTAAATTGAGAAAAATATATACATAAAACTTTTCAGAAATAAAAAACTGGAATTTGGCATGTGCATATGTATTCACCCCCTTTGTTATGAAGCCCATAAAAAGCTCTGGTACAACCAATTACCTTCAGAAGTCACATAAACAGTGAAATGATGTCCACCTGTGTGTCACATGATCTGTCAGTACATACACACACCTTTTTTGAAAGGCCTCAGAGGCTGCAACACCTAAGCAAGAGGCACCGCTAACCAAACACTGCCATGAAGACCAAGGAACTCTCCAAACAAGTAAGGGACAGTGTTGTTGATCCCACTGATCCCCAGGAGCACCATCAAATCTATCATAACCAAATGGAAAGAACATGGCACAACAGCAAACCTGTCAAGAGACGGCCGCCCACTAAAACTCACGGACCGGGCAAGGAGGGCATTAACCAGAGAGGCAGCACAGAGACCTGAGGTAACCCTGGAGGAGCTGCAGAGTTCCACAGCAGAGACTGGAGTATCTGTACATAGGACGACAATAAGCCGTACGCTCCATAGAGTTGGGCTTTATGGCAGAGTGGCCAGAAGAAAGCCATTACTTTCAGCAAAAAACAAAATGGCACGTTTTGAGTTTGCGAAAAGGCATGTGGGAGACTCCCTAAATGTATGGAGGAAGGTGCTCTGGTCTCATGAGACTAAAATTGAACTTTTCGGCCATCAAGGAAAACGCTATGTCTGGCGCAAACCCAACACATCACATCACCCAAAGAACACCATCCCCACAGTGAAACATGGTGGTGGCAGCATCATGCTGTGGGGATGTTTTTCAGCAGCCGGGACTGGGAAACTGGTCAGAGTTGAGGGAAAGATGGATGGTGCTAAATACAGGGATATTCTTGAGCAAAACCTGTACCACTCTGTGCGTGATTTGAGGCTAGGACGGAGGTTCACCTTCCAGCAGGACAATGACCCCAAACACACTGCTAAAGCAACACTTCAGTGGTTTAAGGGGAAACATGTAAATGTGTTTGAATGGCCTAGTCAAAGCCCAGACCTCAATCCAATAGAAAATCTGTGGTCAGACTTAAAGATTGCTGTTCACAAGAGCAAACCATCCAACTGAAGGAGCTGGAGCAGTTTTGCAAGGAGGAATGGGCAAACATCCCAGTGGTAAGATGTGGCAAGCTCATAGAGACTTATCCAAAGCGACTTGGAGCTGTGATTGCCGCAAACGGTGGCTCTACAAGTACTGACTTTAGGGGGGTGAATAGTTATGCACATTGACCTTTTCTGTTATTTTTCCTATTGTTTGCTTCACAATAAAAAAAAGACAACATCTTCAAAGTTGTGGGCATGTTCTGTAAATGAACTGATGCAAATCCTCAAACAATCCATGTTAATTCCAGGTTGTGAGGCAACAAAACACACAAAATGCCAAGGGGGGTGAATACTTTTGTACTGTATTTGATCAATAACGAAAGTTCATCTTGTCATTGGCAAAGTTCATTGCCAATAATGTCATTATTGGCAATGACAGAGCTCAAACTTTTCTGTAACTCTTCACAAAGTTTTCACACACTGTTGCTGGTATTTTGGCCCATTCCTCAGTGCAGATCTCCTCAGAGCAATGATGTTTTGGAGCTGTTGCTGGGTAACACAGACTTTCAACTACCTTCAACAATTTGGAGACTGGGATTTTTGTTCACCATTTTGCCCCGACGGGGTGAGATTTTGTGCGGAGCTCCAGATCTTTTTAATTGGGAGAACTTGCACAATTGGTGGCTGAGTAAATCCTTTTTTGCCCAGCTGTATTTTGACTTTTGTCTGCAATTTTCACTAATAAACCACAAACAGTAATTCTTAATTCACAAACTTTAGTGAAAAAGTAAAAGCATTTATGTTTGATTGGCTTAAAAGCACCAAAAAATACACTAATTTCTATTTCTATTGTCGTAAACCGTGTACTTACGGTGTTTGCCAGTTGGTCAAGTTTGTCAGCCGTAGAGTTCAAGTTGACTCTAGAAATTTTATTTAACTGTTAAAAAGAAAAAAACTTGTCACTTAATAAATATTTGATCATTTATCAACATGATCATCATTATGCCACACACACTGTACCCGCTGCACTGGAGCTTCTAAATCAATGTCGTTTGCCTTTGAGGAAAATCTCTGTAGTTGGTTCTTCACTTCTGGAGTGAGAAAAGTGACAGGGGCCAAGTCGATGTTGGTGTTCTCAAAGTATTTCTTAATTTCATCTGTGTACTGGAGATAAAGAGTGTCAATTTACGTATATTATATTGTAAAGAACAGCAAAAAGTCGATTAATTCTAGTAGTTGAAATTACTTTAGATACATTGAGAAGATCATCAAGATTTATTTGCTGATTCAAATGAAAGGTGGACCACGCTGGCTTATTATCTTCACAATCTCTACAATTATAAAAAGAGAAAATGACATAGTCAAACACAAATTCTCAACTGTCAACTTGAAAATAAATGAACTGGTAAAGGTGTTCGGACAAAGACTGCCACGAACAATGACACACCGATAAATACTAGAAATATTTATGTTGACCCCAAATGTTTCACTCAAGTCAAATCCAGGAATTACGCCAGGAGTGTCGATGAGCTGTGGAGAGGGAAGACGTGAAAAGAGGTGTGATTGTGATCGACATATTAAATCACAATATATGGCTATTTCATTGTTTTGGCCATATTTTTGAGGTTATGAATGAAAACACATTTATTTTTCCCACTCATGGTTAGTGGTTTTGTGCAGCCATGTATTGTCAAATAAATATGTCTATTTTCAAATTATAACTTCATGGAGCCAATCTGCAAAGATCTTCAATGTGTGAAACATGCCAGGCAACCCAGGAATTTACAGAAACTGGAAAATTTTGCCAAGAAGAATGGGCAGCTTTACCATAAGAAGGAAGAAGAAAGTACTTCCCCACCGGCGAACACGCATGAAACAGTTGCATAAAGTCCGGAGCATGAAAACACATATGTTTCACAAGCATTACAGTAAGTCCCCATTGTCAACCCTGGTTTAGTCCTGTTTACGTCCTGGTGTAACTCCCTGTTTTGGGCTGTTTACAGTATGTTCAGTTCTTCTCGCTCAGACCGCTATGTCCCCGGTGAACCACTTTGTGGCTCTCTGATTGGTCCTGGAACGAGCGTCCCGAGGATACGCTCAGCAATATTTTCTCCTGGTGGAGTCAGTTTCGCCCGCTAACTCCTGCGCTCCCGCAGTCCGTGCGTGCTATCCTGAGACGCAGGTGCAAGTTCCCAGCTCGAACGTACGTCAGCACGGCCCCCCCCCCCCCACCCCCCCCCCCCCGCCTTGGGGGGGGGGGCGGGGGTGGGGGGGGGGGGTGGGGGGGGGGGGGGGGGGTGGGGGGGGGGGGGGGCACCCCCCCCCCAGGGGGGGGGGTGGGGGGGGGGGGGGGGGGGGGGGGGGGGGGGGGGGGGGTTCCTTGAATTTGCATTGAAAGTCGACCAACGCATGATCCTGAACGCAGCTCAAGTTTGTCATCAAAAACAAACAGAGGTTGTCAGTCCTAAAGAAGTTATTAATAGTGTCCCAACCATTGTAAACATTTGGACACATTTTCAACAGGAATCACTGAATAATCGCAACTTCCTGAACATTGCCAAGTGCAACATTCAAAGGATGCCGAATACAAAAAAATCTGGTTCTGAGTCAAAGCTTCTTATTACTGTCCTTTTCTGGTCTCGTGTTCCATCCATGTGTACGCCATAGGATGTCATCCTTGCTCGGGCTTGCTACCTTTCCCAGCATGGACATGTAGAGTAGTACGCCTGCCAAGGGGGTTCTTGGGATACGCAGATTCTGGCATCATTCGAAGCAACTGGTCAATGCCGCATTGTCAATTTGCCCATGCATATCATAAAACACCCTTGCACTTCGGCGATGCAAAATGAAAAGATGCTGATGCTGTTTACTGTGAGATAAACTTTGCACATTAGAACACTGGATGTCCAAATGCAAAGAAAACACTGTAATAAGAGGAGCTAACAGCGTCATGATTTGGCCTGCTTGAACAAATAATGGCAAATCGTCACTCTGATGTCACTGGGATGGCATGTCCGCCATGGGTTTGCCTCTACAAGTGGAAAGTTTTAAATAGGGCAAACTGCCGATTCCGAAATGTGCTAAAAATAGCACCGATGACTGCGCATGTTTCGACAAACATGTTCCGACCCGTTGATCTATTCGCCTCATTACGCGTTGCGTATTTTTTTGGGGCCTAAATCATTGAATCATGGTGACAACAAAACACTGCAGGTTAATGGTGCTTGTGGAGCGAGGTGCAGATACTCTGAAAAGGACCTATATGAAAGTAACTTGCTAACCCGTTCGTTAAACTCACAACCGCGGACCAGACCAGGACCAGACCAGGACCAGAGCAGACCAAGGTGGGTGCTTGTGGTCGGCAGAATGTCCTCTCATGGAATAGGTGAATAAGGCACATGTTTTTTCCAAACACTCGCTGGACCAAACTGTGGAGCCTCCAGCTCCAGTCCTAGCTACGTGTAGCTGGGACTTGATCTGGACCGCTGTATCAGTCCGTCTGAGCTCTTCTCGAATGTTGTTAGGGCACAATTACTTGTCTCTTTACACCATTTCCCCCATCAATCCATATTAGTATTGTTTGTCCCTAAGCCAGATAGTATATACCTATTCTCAACAGCCTGAAGAAAAGATGAAGGTATTGTTTTTCAACTTTGTGTCTGCTTAGTTATTCGGCGTTGTACCAATTGAACACACAAAAATAAACGTCCTTTCACTAGCTCATTGCCGAAAGGTTTATTTAATGAGATGCTAAGAAAAGAGTTCCCAAAGGTTTTTCCCCGTGGCAAGGCGAGTAACATGAGGATAGTTAACCTAAAAAGCGATCGCTTTAGGAGTTCGCATTAAAAAAGGATTTTTTGGGTAACACTTTACATTACGGGCCGGTAAGTCCATGGTACTTACAGTGGTACTTCTAGGTACTTACAGTGGTACTTACGGTGGTACTTACAGTGGTACTTACGGTGGTACTTACGGTGGTACTTACGGTGGTACTTACGGTGGTACTTACGGTGGTACTTACGGTGGTACTTACGGTGGTACTTACGGTGGTACTTACGGTGGTACTTACGGTGGTACTTACGGTGGTACTTACGGTGGTACTTACGGTGGTACTTACGGTGGTACTTACGTGGTACTTACAGTGGTACTTACAGTGGTACTTACGGTGGTACTTACGGTGGTACTTACGGTGGTACTTACGGTGGTACTTACGGTGGTACTTACAGTGGTACTTACGGTGGTACTTACGGTGGTACTTACGGTGGTACTTACGGTGGTACTTACGGTGGTACTTACGGTGGTACTTACTGTGGTACTTACGGTGGTACTTACAGTGGTACTTACAGTGGTACTTACAGTGGTACTTCTAGGTACTTACAGTGGTACTTATAGTGGTACTTCTAGGTACTTATTGTGGTACTTACAGTGGTACTTCTAGGTACTTACAGTGGTACTTAGAGGTACTTATTGTGGTACTTACAGTGGTACTTCTAGGTACTTATTGTGATAATTCTAGATACAGCTGTAACTTAGTAATTCAAGGACACTACAGTATTATTCCTATGTAGTAAATGTGGTACTTCTACATACATACATACAGAGGTCATTTGTAGGATTGTTTGACTATAAAACATAAAACAACATTATGTAAAACAAACGTCTTTATTAATATGGAATAAGTAGCACAGAAAGGACAGTATAAATACATTTAATGCATATTTCAAAACAAGTTTCAAGGACAAGGGAAACACTGCAAGAACTAGGTACCCAACCCAAGTAACAAGAATTACACATTACCAGGTACTTACCAGCCAAGTACCAGGTACTTACCAGCAAGTACCAGGTACTTACCAGCAAGTACCAGGTACTTAACAGCAAGTACCAGGTACTTAACAGCAAGTACCAGGTACTTACCATAGGGACTGGCCCATAATAAGACAAAGGACTTTAACATAAGTACCAGTGATAACACCAGTAATTATACAGTAAGTACCAGGTACTTACCATAGGGACTGGCCCATAATAAGACAAAGGACTTTAACATAAGTACCAGTGATAACACCAGTACTTATATAGTAAGTACCAGGTACTTACCATAGGAACTGGCCCATAATAAGACAAAGGACTTACCCATAAGTATACTAGTGATACCAGTAATTATATAGTATACCATGTACTTACCAGCAAGTACCATGTACTTACCAGCAAGTACCAGGTACTTACCATAGGGACTGGCCCATAATAAGACAAAGGACTTTAACATAAGTACCAGTGATAACACCAGTAATTATACAGTAAGTACCAGGTACTTACCATAGGGACTGGCCCATAATAAGACAAAGGACTTTAACATAAGTACCAGTGATAACACCAGTAATTATATAGTAAGTACCAGGTACTTACCATAGAAACTGGCCCATAATAAGACAAAGGACTTACCCATAAGTACTAGTGATACCAGTAATTATATAGTATACCATGTACTTACCAGCAAGTACCAGGTACTTACCAGCAAGTACCAGGTACTTACCAGCAAGTACCAGGTACTTACCAGCAAGTACCAGGTACTTAACAGCAAGTACCAGGTACTTACCAGCAAGTACCAGGTACTTGCTGGTAAGTACATGGTATACTATATAATTACTGGTATCACTAGTACTTATGGGTAAGTCCTTTGTCTTATTATGGGCCAGTTCCTATGGTAAGTACCTGGTACTTACTATATAATTACTGGTGTTATCACTGGTACTTATGTTAAAGTCCTTTGTCTTATTATGGGCCAGTCCCTATGGTAAGTACCTGGTACTTACTGTATAATTACTGGTGTTATCACTGGTACTTATGTTAAAGTCCTTTGTCTTATTATGGGCCAGTCCCTATGGTAAGTACCTGGTACTTGCTGGTAAGTACATGGTACTTGCTGGTAAGTACATGGTATACTATATAATTACTGGTATCACTAGTACTTATGGGTAAGTCCTTTGTCTTATTATGGGCCAGTTCCTATGGTAAGTACCTGGTACTTACTATATAAGTACTGGTGTTATCACTGGAACTTATGTTAAAGTCCTTTGTCTTATTATGGGCCAGTCCCTATGGTAAGTACCTGGTACTTACTGTATAATTACTGGTGTTATCACTGGTACTTATGTTAAAGTCCTTTGTCTTATTATGGGCCAGTCCCTATGGTAAGTACCTGGTACTTGCTGTTAAGTACCTGGTACTTGCTGTTAAGTACCTGGTACTTGCTGGTAAGTACCTGGTACTTGCTGGTAAGTACCTGGTACTTGGCTGGTAAGTACCTGGTAATGTGTAATTCTTGTTACTTGGGTTGGGTACCTAGTTCTTGCAGTGTTTCCCTTGTCCTTGAAACTTGTTTTGAAATATGCATTAAATGTATTTATACTGTCCTTTCTGTGCTACTTATTCCATATTAATAAAGACGTTTGTTTTACATAATGTTGTTTTATGTTTTATAGTCAAACAATCCTACAAATGACCTCTGTATGTATGTATGTAGAAGTACCACATTTACTACATAGGAATAATACTGTAGTGTCCTTGAATTACTAAGTTACAGCTGTATCTAGAATTATCACAATAAGTACCTAGAAGTACCACTGTAAGTACCACAATAAGTACCTCTAAGTACCACTGTAAGTACCTAGAAGTACCACTGTAAGTACCACAATAAGTACCTAGAAGTACCACTAGAAGTACCACTGTAAGTACCTAGAAGTACCTAGAAGTACCACTGTAAGTACCACTGTAAGTACCACTGTAAGTACCACTGTAAGTACCACCGTAAGTACCACCGTAAGTACCACCGTAAGTACCCCTGTAAGTACCACCGTAAGTACCACCGTAAGTACCACCGTAAGTACCACCGTAAGTACCACCGTAAGTACCACCGTAAGTACCACTGTAAGTACCACCGTAAGTACCACCGTAAGTACCACCGTAAGTACCACCGTAAGTACCACCGTAAGTACCACCGTAAGTACCACCGTAAGTACCACTGTAAGTACCTAGAAGTACCACTGTAAGTACCTAGAAGTACCACTGTAAGTACCACTGTAAGTACCACTGTAAGTACCACCGTAAGTACCACCGTAAGTACCACCGTAAGTACCCCTGTAAGTACCACCGTAAGTACCACCGTAAGTACCACCGTAAGTACCACCGTAAGTACCACCGTAAGTACCACCGTAAGTACCACCGTAAGTACCTAGAAGTACCACTGTAAGTACCTAGAAGTACCACTGTAAGTACCATGGACTTACCGGCCCGTAATGTAAAGTGTTACCCTTTCCCCCAACACATATTCACATAATCAACACCAACAAAACTCAATAACTGCAACGCCCTCAAATACTAATCACTTCCTCCCACAAGTGGCTTTTGGACAATCTCTGAATCATGTTTTAATTACAATGCGGCTATTGCCCTAAATCCTACAATGTACTCTACTGCATATGATGTGTATATGCAATCTTTTTCTTTCAAGTCTAATGAATCACCAAACTGAGATCAGGATAAACTGGCCGGCATTACCACAGGACCATGCGGCTGCAGGGAAACAATCTTACAAAACCAACCAGAATTGATTTAAATCCAAGAATTGGTGTTCGTTCCTTCACAAATGAGTCTCAAGATAGCAATTTCTTAAACCATCTCTCTCCACTGACCCCGACCTGATCAGGCTGCGCTCCTCTGCTCACAGGAAATCAGTACATCCATTGTGAAAGCCGCCACCAGCGTCTGCTCCCGAGTGAGCTGAAGTCTTCCAATTAGGGAATGTACCAACTGACCACTGCTGTTGCATGTTGGATTTCTCATTTGTAGGTCCACGTCAATAAGTTAAAGTAGGATCATGTTCAAAAGTAAAATCAACATGAAAAGTAAAAACCATATAAACTTGGATGAACGATGAATCACAAAAAAACATTTAAAACATGTTTATTTTAGTGGGAATTGTTAATGAGGTAATTGTTTCATATGTAGCACATGTGTGGCATGCTTTTAAAATGAAACTTTCCAGACGTTGTTGTTTTTCTACTACTTTTTACTACTTCCACAAAATTTACAAAGTACAGGATTGGCGACAGTGGCTCAGTTGGTAGAGCCTTGGCCTTTATGCCAGAAGGTCGTGGGTTCGAGCCCACCATAAGACCTACTTCACGACTCCCACTGATGACTGCTGTCGTTGTGTCCTTGGGCAAGACACTTAACCCCACTTTGCCTGAAGCCCCCACTGAAAGATTTCAGCTCCTGTGGACTCACCGCCTGCAGGAGGATCAGTGAGGGGCTGGTGCTCTGTGTACTAGGTGCAGCTCTGACTGTCACCCCCCCCAACCCATAAATGGATTAAGGGGAAGAAAATGGATGGATGGAGGATTAGAATGTTGGTCAGAAATATTGCAATTAGATCAAATTGTGCCACCTTATAAACATTTAATGAATAAATAACAATATGATAAATGTGGTGGGGCGGCAGTAGCTCAGTTGGTAGAGCATTGGCCTTTGGGCCTGGAGGTCGTGAGTTCGATTCCCACCATGGGACCTACTCCAACTGCTCCCACTGATGACTGCTGTCCTTGTGTCCTTGGGCAAGACACTTAACCCCACATTGCCTGAAGCCCCCTGCTGAAAGATCAAGGCTGTTTCACAACTGACGGAGCAGCCATCTTCCTGTGGACTCACCCCCTGCAGAAGATCAGCGAGGGACTGGTGCTATGAGCGTTGGGTGGCAGCTCTCATTGCCACCCCCCGACCCAGAAATGGACAAAGGGGTTGAAAATGAAATGAAATGATAAATGTGTGAATAAATATCATATTTACCGAGTTTTCCATACGATTCATTAACATATATATTCCTTATTATTGATTGATACAAAGACATCAACATCAAATCAAAGCTTAGAAAACAACTTTTTTGCCTTTGGTTTTTATCATAACATTAAAAGACATGGAAATGGAAGGCATATGTTTTGCGGTATTATTTTGGTAAATCTCCTTCTTGATTGTTTAAGTAATTTAGCAGTTCGTGCCATGTCCGTATCGCCTGTGGTTAGCTGGTAATGAATGTGCAGTGTAATGTTGGCCGCCTATCCTGGGACCTCATTTATCAAGGAAAGGCCAGCAGTGTCAAAGCCATTTCCTCAGAGAAGCTGCCACACACAAACAACAGCTAAATGAGATGTGTGAGACCCGGCGCACACATCTCTCCTCCAGCAGGGTCAGGCCCATACCACTGCTTTTCACTCTAGTGTGGTTCTCAGGTTGATTTGAATTTGTGTGCCTGGTTTAAAAAAAAAAAGGAAAGGCAAATATTATAATTACTGTTTAGAACAAAGGAAACACTTTTACATGACAGTTTAAGCGGAGGTTTTTAATAAGGTTCCAGTCTTTTAATAAGAAAGTTAATGTAAGATATTTCCATAAAACACAATGAAAGAATGAACTTTCACAGACGCAATAAAAGCGCTTTTTACTTTGACATCAAGATTGTGAACGCTGCACATAAAGTGCCTTTCCGTCTTTGAGGCACTCACAACTCTTCATCTCCAGGAACCACTTAGTCCTTCACAGTCATACACATACAGACACAGGACGTGAAGCAGGTTAAGTGTCTTGCCCAAGGACACGCGTCCATCTTGGAGAGCTTCAATGACCTGGGAAACTTTATGCCAGTGGAACATGGTTTTGGAAATAAATCAGTCTGCTTGATACACAAACTTTTTTAGCCTTTTGGACACATTTTGTATTGATTTACAAATACGCTGAATATTGTGATGGGAATACTCAGAAAAACGTTGTGATTTTGATACACCAATTCACTTTCCTTCAGGAGTAATAAAGTACATCGCAATTCAATTCCAATTCAATTGGATCCGTGAGGAACCTAATTTAAAGATAGGGCGCAAATCATCTATACCTCACAGTTCTGATGCATCTGATTTGAACACACTATGTCCACTAAAATTGACTACAAACTCATCCACAGCTTTGAATAAAAACGGAATAAAAAAGAGCAGCGCAGTGAAGTTTTGCGCAGCATCCTCTTGCACATTTAAAACGCTAAAATCTGAAAATGTTGTTTTTGTTGATTGATCACTCCAAAGAGGGATGTCACCACCATTGCGCACTTAACTGATCAAAGTAAGAGTCTTTCATAACAAAGCAAAATTAACAAAGTAACAGCAGTTTTTTTCCGTCAACTTCCCATTCCAAACACAGTGGAACTACTGCCACTCTAACAGACCTGAAGGAGTTTAAAATAAAGTCAAACAATGGCTCAAAAGGGAAATAAACTTGTGAGCACAATGCAAGACTCTGATCATCTATTGTAATTTTTCTGTACGATGTGATCTGTGGGGTTATTTTATTGTTTTGTTATTTAGTATTACTCATTTACTTATTTTTTTTTATATAATCTTGGTCTGTCCCTATCAAATAAAGACATAACAAATAACACATACAGCAGTTGCACATAGGACATTATGACAATAATTAGCTCCAAGGTTTATAATCTTATTATTATTGTATTTTAATTATCTTAAATAGTTGTTAGTGTCAAACAAGATGGACTGTGGTGATGATCCTGGACACTCTACAACATGTATGGACATTTATCATATTATTTGTGTCTTAACTGTTTATTCTCTGATCTGTGTTGGTGACTTCAATGGTTTTGTTAAGTCCTCTGAGATGACTGCTGTTGTGATTTAGGGCTATACAAGAATGCATTGTATTGTATTGTATTGTAATAATAGATTGAGTGTGATTATGAGTGCTCTATTTCTGTTTTCATCCTGCTATAATGTGCGTAACTGTGACATTGAAATTTCCCCACAGAAGGATGAATAAAGGTTTATCTTATCTTATCTCAATAGATAAAGTTAAGAGACGTCAGCTTCAATTACATCTGATATTGTAAGAATAGGTTTGTTAAAAGTTCTTAATTCATAGACCATCAGATGAACAGCCTCAAATGTGGGAAACAGGGCAGTGGAAAGGATCGTTCTGTCGGTCTACTTGTATTTTGTAATATGCATTATTTTATGTCAACACCAATCCTGTGTGATGAGACTGCTGCGGCCCTCCAACTGCACGTCACGAGCCAACTCACTGCCACGGTCTGAGCCAAATGTTTGAAGGCAGACGCCAGATGCAGAAGCCGGAGCAGGTCGCCGCCTGTTGTGGTGAGAATGACAACACACTGCGACTTCTGGAAATTGTGTTGTAATTTTGTGTGTACTTGCCTCCAATGATTGATGTTCAAAATTCCTTCTTTTACACACTATTAAACTGATGTCAATCCAGAACAGCTTGTGCTTCATCGTTCATTTTACATGTTTGCAAAGTGACTTGATTGATGGCCTTTCAAGTCTTGGCAACACATCGTAATAAGCTGTCTTCTTCTTCAGAAGTGGGCCTCATGCCTAGATCCTCATGTGATGGAAGAGACACTGTTCAATTACAAAGACGATCAGAAATAGTGCCGAAGAGGAGGAGCGTTAGACACTTGTGATAGAGAAGGGGTGGCAGATGCTTTTGTGAATATGTTGTCACTATCATCAGGCTGCAGAAGATTTCAAATGCCAGCCAGTGCGCGGGTGAGCAAGGGCAGAGAAAAATGTAGAATAATTATCCAAGATCATTCAGTAGAGATATAAAAGTCTGTTTGTCAATGCCTTATGACCTTAATATAGATTTTAAAAAACATAAGCTCTTTATATCACACCATGTATCAAAAATGGATGGATGGATTTATGGAACAGA